TGCGTCTTCTAGTGCTAGCAAAACCAACATCAATGTTAGTACGGTTGCCGTAAATTCTATCGCGAAATAGGAAGCATTGAGCTTGGCCGAGAGTGTGCGCACCAGACAAGGCAACCATGTCTCTTGTGTTAAGGCCTTTGCTAGCGAAGCTGGATATAAGTGTATCCAAATTTGCGAAAGGGCTGGGGAGATCTATGGTACGACTAGCTGTGGTTGAATCTCTTCTTCCCAGCTTCACTGTCCAAGAGTGACCTCCCACAGCAACAGTGGCATCACGTGCAGCCACCGACAATACATCAGCACAAGATACAATACCGGGACAAGCTTTCTCTAGCTCACGCTTGGCAGCCTCTATCACGTCGTAACCCATGGCAGAGGCATGGTTTGGCAACGCCGTCTTTTCGCTCTGAATGGTTTGTGACTCGTCCAGTAAGATGGAAGCGTCGCAAGCTTGAACAAAGTAGTCGTGGAAATGGAGACGAATCAAGGAAGCGGCCATGCGACGCTCACGGGACACGGTTTGCCTTACGGCAGTGCGAATGATGTTTAGAGCGTTAGGGCATGTGTTGTCGTAAAATGATGGGGATAGCTGCTGCTGCGCTTGGCATTGCGAGAAGGCGGAGAGCAGTAGTAGAAGCAAACATGATAAAGTTGTAGTATATAAATGAGAAGCCATATGTATATAGAGAAATGGCGCAGGGATTGTAGCTAGGTCTGATCTGAAAGATATGATTGGGTTGGTATGATGATTGAGAATGGGAAAGTGGAACGAAGTGTATATACTTGTTGCAGGGAGGCGGTGGCTATTGTTAAATATACTCCTAATCAGATAAGGAATGATAAAAGGAATATTATATTATATTATTCACAATAATATAGAGAGGGGCTAGGGAGAATAAATATTAATTCTAGTGTGAATATGATCAATAATAACTAATGTTTAGAAATTAAAATTGATGAATGTCATGAACGGAACAATCAAGTCATATACTCTAGGGTCCTTTCCCTGTGATCAGGCCGGGTTCACTTCTTCTCCGTCAATTAGTCTTTTCCCGGCCTTTTTATCATTTTTTCATCGACCATATATTCAATCTTATCTTTTTCGATTATTATATAATATATATTTCGACCTTTCGATTATTAAAGATGTACTTCCTTTTATGGTCCGTACAGCACTATGTGGACCATGATCCACACAATAATTTGTCCAAGTTTTATGTCACTTGATAATTATAAAGCTATATATTCAAGGTGGACACAGTTCTATATAGATAATTAATGAACTATATGTTCATAATTATAAAACTATATATTCATAAATTTTGAACTTCATATTCACAATTATTGAATCTCTATATTCATAATTATAGAACTATATGTTCATAATTGTGTTCACAACTCTATGTTCATAATTATAGACCTATATGTTCATCATTTTTGAACTATATATTCATAGTTATGAACAGTTTTGGATCTGTACGTGTCCACCTTGCAAGGTGGACACGGTTCCACAGCATAATTTGCCATTTATGAATATGTATATTATTAAGTTTATTTCATTAATTTCGCTGAAAAATATTTTAATCAGTAGCAGTGATCATTTAGAAAAAGTTTGTTAAAATACTCCCCTAATGGATTTAAGTCTTCATACATTCCAAATTGGATTGTATGATCAAAAAAAATTTGTAATTGGGAAAATTAGTTAATTAATTAGGTCCATTATTTTTGAAATTTTGGTATGTCGGCTAGTGAGGATGGTATCGAATGCATTCATTGTTTTGTTAGATTTTAAAAAATTCAAGAAAAAGAAATGGATTTAGATGCACGAAATTCGCACGTGTCTTACTTTTCCTTCATTTTTCTCTCTCTAACGGGGCCCAAAGCGTGTCCAAACATATGACCGCAAATGGTTAAACACATGACCGTTTAGAAAATTTGCGACGCAAAGAGTTGATATCTCGTTTGCTGTCTTCACGATTGCATTCCGCTCCTTGCAAAAATTGTCCATCTACGATGTTGTTTCCTCACTTTCACTCATTCATCTTTGATCTTTTATTTGTATATGCTTAAGAAAATTTTTATAATTGGGAAATTAGTTAATTAATTTGGTGATTTTGGTATGTCGGCTAGTGATGATGGTTTTGGATGCATTCATTGTTTTGTTTGATTTAAAAAAATTCTAGAAAAAATAAAACTAGATTTACTCGCCCTTTATATGCGTGGAACGCACATGTTTCTTGCTTTTCCTTCGTTTTTCTCCCTCTAACGGGATTGAGACCGTGAGACGATCTCACAAAAGTGTTTGCATTCCTTATGAAATAGAATTTATATTCATCTAAATTTTGTTTCCTCAATCAAGCATGTCCAAAAGGAACAGCATAATTTATCAAGATAATCCTAAGAATATAATAGTTATTTTCCATACAGTAACAATAACTCATCTTGTTATCTCTTTGGATACTATAGGCAAATTATGTTGTGCAACCGTGTGGACCATGCATGGTGCATACTGTTGCAAAACAACGCCGTTCCAAAATTTTTTTTAAAAAAATTCCATTTTTCATTGCCGTTAACGGCGTTAGGCGGTTTCCATTCGCATTCAAACATTCTTTTCTCTCTTCGCAATTGTACAGTTTAGAAATTATGAATCTATCATATTTAAATTATGAATCTACAGTGTTGAAATTATGAATCTACAGTATTTGATTTGTGAACATGTGATAGAGCTATATGTTCATAAGTTTATAAATATATGTTCATGATTATAGAGCTATATGTTCATAATTTTCGATGCTCATATTCCCAATTGTTGAACTCTGTATTCACAACTCACAGAACTATATGTTCATAATTTGATAACTATACAGTTTAGATATTATGAATCTACAGTTCGTAAAATATGAATCTGCAATATAGAAATTGTGAATCTTCTATATAGAAGTTATGAATCTCTTGTGTTTAAATTATTAATCTACGGTTTAGAAATTATGAATCTACAGTATAGATTTTATTAATTTACATTATAGAAATTATGAATCTACAGTATAGAAATTATGAAGTGGAACTGTGCGCACCTTGCATGGTGTTCACGGTTGCACAACATAACGTTCCGATACTATACTCGAGGGCATTTCACTTAAAAAGAAAAAAAAAATAAACAAACAAAACTTGTGTGACGTTTTTTGAAAAAAAAAAAAAAAATTGTTCAAATACAATTATTTTTCAAATTGCAAAATATGATTTTATAAATCCAAGTACTTATTTTTTATTTTGAAAATACAAATCCAAATGATAACTTGGAAACAATTTTGAGTATGAATTATATTGTCATGCCTATAATATCTGACGAAATCAACAAGAACAAGAAACAATAATATTGGTAAAAATAGAGGTAAAGAATGTAAGATTTACATGGTTCGGCAATGTGCTTACATCCACCAGAGTAAAAAAAGAATTAGTTCATAGCGATGGTGATCGTGGTGATACCTTAGGGATATAATTAATGTATTTAGGCATCTAATCGTTGTACAATGGGTTTGCCCAAATTGTTTCACTCCTATTGGACAAACTTATATTCCTAGTCCCTATATGAGACAAACTTAACAATATCTTCTCGAGCATGAATTGCGAAGCGGGATGAAGGAAATGTGTTAGGAACATTGTATTAGGATTTTGATGATACCAATGTAATGTAGAAAGTAGACCCCTAACTGTTAAGCTTTTTCGATCGCTACTTTCGTCCTAGACGAGAGTTGCCATAACTCCCATGTAATTCGTGTTAAGTTAGACAAACACACGAAAATGAGTTATGTCTAGTTGATAGGGTCTCCAAGACGAAAGAAGACACGAGGCAAGATGAACAGCAACAAGAATTAATGTGGAGTTGTCAACTACCTCGAAAGGACAGATTTGTTAAAGACGATTCTCTCCAAGCATTCTTTCTCTTCAACAACGAGAAGAATGTTTTGTCTGTCTGGTTTGACAACATCCTAGGAACATAAGGATCTCAACTTATGAGGACACGATTACCAAGGAGCATTAAATGAAGATGTACCATCTCCTGGAGCTAAAAGACAAAACCCTAATGCTCTCCTTACCTTCAACGGCTACATGGTACAACCTCATTAAAGGAGCATTTAATGCATGAAGCTCCCCGGTCCTTATCCACTGGATAAAAGGTTCGAAAATTTCATCTCTCTCCAACGGATGAATTTTCATCACCTATATAAACCCACCTTCATCAACCAAGAAGGTGCTGGTTCAACTTTCACTCGATCTATATACTTGCAAAAGCTCTTAAACGCTCTCAGTTCTCTCAAGCTTTTGTGAACCAGTGTTAAGGTGCTAAGATATTTGAAGAAGTTCATTGATCATCATCTTACACCTTAAGGAAGTCTTGCCATTTGTATGAAGAAATCATCTCACTCAATCAAGACTTCATCAAGTTGGAGAAATCAGAAATCATTTTCTACCAACCTCAACTTTGAAGAAGAAGTTGGTAGAGGCGGAGTAAACTCGAGGAGTTGAAAAACCTATGAAGGCTGTCCGGCTTAGTGATCAAGGAAGTCTTTGTGTAATTGTACTAACGAGTGATAGTGCAATCCTTCCATAAGTTGTGGAAGAAGAGTGGAGTAGGCAACGTTAGCTGAATCACTATAAAATCTCTTGTCTCTTTATCTCTTTACTTACGCATTTCATTTATGCATCATATTGTCCTTATCATCATTACCGAAAGTTCTCTTTTCAACGTAAACTCGTGCAAAACAAATAATCAAATCTGACATATCCGCTGCACCAAAACACCGAAAGGTGATTTTTGGGGTCAAACACGAAAATAGTCTATTCACCCCCCCCCCCCCCCCCTCTAGACTCTCACTACACTCTATCGGGACCAACAAGTGGTATCAGAGCCTAAAGGCTTTGCATTTACTGCCTGGTAGATCCCCTATCAAAATTCTGAAAAACTGCATATTTTTCAGCTTTGCACGAACATTTGCAAAATGGAAAAAGATCATGCTAACCGTTCTAAGCAGCACGTTTTCAGCCTTGCTAAATTTGATGACTGGAAGATAAGAATGCAGGCACTCCTCTGCTCCATACATGACGAAATGTGGGACGTCATAACAACTGGACGAATTACAGTTATGACGGTGAACACACAAGCGGCAGCTCAAGGAGCCGGTGCTGAGCAAATGATACCGAAGCCAAAAGATTCATATACCTCGGAAGAAAGGACAAGAGCAAACCTGGATAACGTAGCAAGAAATATCCTCTACAACTCCCTTGATGACTCCCTGTTCCCAAGAGTCCGAAAGTGCAAGAATGCCATGGAAATATGGAATGTTCTGATGGAACTAGGAGAAGGGGATGAGCAGGAGAAAGACAACAAACTGACTGTAGCAATGAAGAAGTTTGAAGATTTTAAAATGCTTCCAAACGAGACAATCATGGACATGGAGCTGAGATTCACCAGACTCATGGGAGATCTGACAGATCTCGGGAAGGAACTGGCTGAGAAAGAAAGGAATCTGAAGATCCTTCGTGGCCTACCAAAATCTTGGGAAATGAAGGTCATTGCAATGAGAGACAGTCGAGATATGAAAACAATGAGCACGGCCAAGATCTTTAGTGATCTCAAAGCATATGAATTCGAACATGAACCGAAAGATGCCGAAGAATCAGAAACAAGAAATGTCGCTCTCGTGGCAAACCAATCAGCATCAACATCTAACAGGTCGAAATTAAACTCTTGTGATTTTTTATCTGATGAACAATATGCACTATTTGTCAGGAAAATGAAAAGGTTCATGAGGAAGAATAACTTTCAAGACTCACACCGTTCGGGTCCCCGAAAGCAACACGAAAGTTCCCCTCAAACCTCAAAAGCAGAGACCTCAGACTCGCAATTGTTGTGCTACAATTGTCAAAAACCAGGGCACTTCAAGGCCAATTGTCCTCATCCAATAGTGAGCAAGCATCAAGATAGCAACACTGCCAAAGCCCATCCAAGGAGACTGGAGATAGATACAAAAGAAATGACAAGTCAGAATCATCAGGCTCTAGAAACGAGAGAAGAAGGAAGGCAATGGTAGTAAACGAGACCTCTGACACAGTTGTGGCCGAAAGTAGCTCCTCAAGCTCGAGTTCAAACGACGAAAGCACTGAAGAAGAAAAAGGACTACTATGCCTTTTCAGTCAGGAATCAGAAGATATGTGTCTTATGGCCGACGAAGATGAGGTAAACTCTCATTCATCGTTTTGTTATTCAGCTGAGTCAAGTTCTGTAGGGAGTCAAACCTCCAATGAATCAGTTACCGAAATGATGAGGAGATTCAAAGTGATCAATAGCACATACTCCAAACTTAAGGAGGAAAACTCTCAGCTCATGATTAGCTACAATGCGCTGAGGCAAGTTCGAATTGAGAACATTATGCTAGCCATTGCTAAGGAGCAACTTGAGAAAAATGTTCTCGCTCTGAAGGAGCAGTGCACAGCAAGAGAAAAGAGAGAGCAAGAATTGCTTGAAGTCTTGGACAAATTCAATAACTCATCCAATCTAATGGATCGAATGATGAATGACTCCAGACTGCCCGGGGAAAGAACCGGAATTGGTTTTGACCCCAGCTCCTCTTCACAAACCTGCTTGAACAAATCCACGAATGCATATTCACACGAAGGCTTTCAAGCTATATTTGTTCAAGGTCCAACCCAGATGTCTGAGCCAATGACGAAAGTTAACAACGATGCCATACCACAATCAACAAGCTTACCGAAAGGAAAGGCTGTACAACGAATTGTGGATCCTCGAAATGAAAAATCTTACAAAGGCAATCCTAGACAAAAATATGTCAAAAGGAATGGACCAAATGGAGATAGACAGAATCTACACCATAAGAAAGGTCAGCCTGCTAAGAATATTCAATCTAGGAAAAGGCCGAATGTTGACCAGAGGCAGTATCGTCCTAAAACAACACGAGAGAATCCAGATCAAGGAAACCCGGAAAATGGACGAACCAGACAACCCGAAAGATCCTTCATAAGATCTGGGTATGGCAATGGATGGACTGGGCCATCAGAAGAAGATTGGTATGATTACCCAGAACCTCTGTCTAAAGCAGAACTACAAAGGATACATCTGCGTAAACAAACCAATCATCTCAAGCATAATGAAAATTCTCCTCAGGAATATCTTCGTAAAAGATATAATGCTAAAGTCTTTGCCAGCATACATTATGATTATCGCACATCTAATGGGTATAGAGGACCAAAGATGAGTCGTGGACACTCTAGGTTGATGTGGGTTCCAAAGTTAACAGCTAACCCTCAAGGACCCGAAATTCAAGGGGTACCTAAAAATATATAATCTTTGTTGCAGGAAAAACAAGTCATATGGTATGTTGATAGTGGGTGCTCAAGACATATGACTGGTGATAAATCAATGTTGAGCAACTTCATAGAAGTAGATGGACATAAAGTCATCTTTGGAGGAGAAAACAGTGGCAGAACTCGTGGAAAAGGGGATATTATCAAAAAGGGAATAACAATACAAGATGTATCTTATGTTGAAGGACTGAAGTTCAATCTTCTAAGCACGAGTCAATTCTGTGACAAAGGATATAAAGTTGAATTTTCCAAGGACGAGTGTAAAATCGTTAACACGAAGGATGGCAAGACAGCCTTAACTGGTCAACGAAAGAAGAACATGTACGTAATATCTTTGATTTCTTCTAACACTAATGTTTGTTTTGTAGCCAAAAGCAATGCAGATCTTAATCATGAATGGCACAATAAACTTAGCCATCTAAACCTAAAGACAATTAGCAAGCTCGCCAAAAGAAATCTCGTGAGAGGACTGCCCAAAGCATCATACACGAAAGATAAAATATGTGAGGCATGTCAAAAGGGAAAACAATTCAAGTCATCCTTTAAGTCGAAAGATGTGGAGGCAAACTCTCGATCTCTAAGCCTTCTACATATGGATCTCTTTGGACCAGTTGATCCAGCAAGTTTAAGTGGAAGAAAGTATACTCTCGTTATAGTAGATGACTCCACGAGATATACTTGGGTAATTTTCTTAAAGAAGAAGAATGAGACAGAAACAGTTCTTTCAAATCTCTTAAGACAACTTCAAACAGAAAAAGAAGTCAAAATCATTCGGATAAGATCAGACCCGGGAACTGAATTTGTTAATAAGGTCATAAAAGAGTTCTGTGCACAAAATGGAATTTTTCATCAACTCTCGGCAGCACGAACCCCTCAGCAAAACGGAGTGGCCGAAAGGAAAAACAGAACCTTGAAAGAAGCTGCACGAACAATGATCTCGTATTCAGGCCTGCCAAAGAGATTTTGGGCTGAAGCTGTGAATACGGCATGCTACACACAAAACAGATCCCTGATCAACAAATCTCACAACAAAACACCATATGAGCTATGGAAAGGTAAAATACCTAGTATTGGTTATTTTCATGTCTTTGGTTGCAGGTGTTTCATACACAACAACGGAAGATCATTTAAGGGCCTTTGATGAAAGAGCTGATGAGGGACTGTTCATGGGATATTCCTCAGTAAGTAAAGCATTTAGAGTTCAAAATAAACGAACGATGGTAATTGAGGAATCCATCCATGTTAAGTTTGATGAACAATCTGAGAAGAATCCACCCGACATCAAAACATCAAACAATTCGAGTCAAAACAATCCTCAACATGTTGATGAAGAAATTTCAGACGAAGAAGATATACTATCGTCCTACATGAAATATCAGCTGAAGGTTTCAGAACCCGAACCTACAACTCAAGAAAAGGTCACAACTCAACAAAATGATCCTGCCATTACCACAACATTTGAAACAATGGTCTATATTGATCTACCATATATTCCTGAAATGGATGTTCAAAATCAACAAGATATATTCTAACCTGATCTTAGGTGGTTAAGAGATCACCCACCTGATCAAGTGATAGGAAATGTCCAAGAAGGTGTACGAACAAGGGCCTCCTTACACGAAAGCATGATGGCATGCTTCTTATCTCAAATGGAACCAAAATCCATAGAAGAAGCCCTAAGTGACCCTGACTGGGTAATAGCCATGCAAGAAGAACTACATCAGTTTGAACGTAATGAAGTATGGGAACTTATATCGAGACCAACCCATCAGAATGTCATAGGAACAAATGGGTCTTCAGGAACAAAATGAGTGAAGATGGGCTCATTGTTAGGAACAAAGCTCGTCTTGTTGCTAAGGGGTACTGCCAAGAAGAAGGAATTGATTTTGATGAAACCTTCACCCCCGTAGCAAGACTGGAGGCCATACGAATATTTCTGGCCTTTGCAGCTCATAAAAACTTCAAAGTCTATCAAATGGATGTCAAGAGTACTTTCTTAAATGGACTTCTTGAATAAGAAGTATATGTTGAGCAACCACCTGGCTTTGCAATCAATAATGAGCACGAAAAGGTTTACCATCTCAAAAAGGCTCTTTATGGACTAAAACAAGCTCCACGAGCTTGGTATGATACACTCTCACACTTTCTCATAAACTGTGGATTTATGAAAGGAGCCGTGGATAAAACACTCTTTCATATCAAAGGCAATGATCACATTATTCTTGTACAAATCTATGTTGATGACATTATTTTCGGGAGCACGAACCTTGCGTTATGTGAAAAGTTCTCAACACTCATGCAAGGCAAGTTTGAAATGAGCATGATGGGAGAACTCAACTACTTTCTGGGATTGCAAGTAAAGGAATGCTCAGATGGAATCTTTATAAGTCAAGCTAAATACACTAAGGATTTAATTCAAAAATTTGGCGTTGATGGGAAAACATCTGTTAAAATTCCTATGAGCACATCTCTTAGAATGGATATTGACAATGAAGGAAAAGATGTGGATCAGAAAAACTTTCGTGGCATAATTGGATCTCTCCTATATCTGACAGCAAGCAGACCTGACATTTCGTTTGCTGTTGGTGTATGTGCAAGATTTCAAGCGAAACCAAAAGAAAGTCACTTGAGTGCAACCAAAAAGATCTTGAGATACCTTAAAGGGACGCAAAGCGTTGGTCTTTGGTACCCGAAAGAAGGATCTTTCGATCTTGTTGGCTATTCAGATGCCGACTTTGCAGGATGCCGAATCGATAGAAAAAACACCCCAGGAACCTGCCAGTTCCTAGGGGGAAAACTCGTGTCATGGTTTAGCAAGAAACAACATTCTATTGCTACTAGTACAGCTGAAGCCAAATACATAGCAGCTGGAAGCTGTTGTGCTCAAATTTTGTGGATGTCACATCAATTGAAAGATTATGGTATTAATGCACGAGAAGTGAGCATTAAATGTGATAACACAAGTGCAATTGCCATCACACATAATCCCGTCCTTCACTCACGAACTAAGCATATTGATATCAAATATCATTTTATTCGTGATCATGTCGAGAGGAAAGACATATCTCTTGAGTATGTTAACACTGATGATCAACTTGCGGACATACTCACGAAACCTTTAAGTGAAGCAAGATTCTCCTCTCTAAGGCATGAAATAGGAATGATTGAGATGACATAAAGCAGTGAGAATCAAATCTACAAAGATTCTCATTCTCGATATTCAAAAGATTTGATCTATCCTCACACGCAAAGACCTCTACAAATAAGGTATACAACGTAATCAAACCTTCATAACTAACAAAAATTCTAGTGTTTGTATTTATGTGTGCAGATATGAGTACAGGAAGCGAAAGAACAATCACTGAGGCACAAGAAGGGAAAAGCGAAATCCTTAATGATCCACTTGTGACCGAGCAAGAGTTTAACCAATTTCTTGAACACTCTCAAAACATACAGAGTATTCTCCGTGACCCAACGGAAAATGAATCAAGAGAGTCATTCCACTCTGTTGGCAACCCTATAGGGTATATCAAGGAAGACAGTGTGCTGGAACGAAGTGTCAGTTTTGACTACTCACCCTCGAGCACTCCTCCCAAGATGTCATCCCCTCTCAAATCTACCGCAAGCAGCAAGAAAAAGAAGGCATAAATGACACTGTTAGGCCACAGTGATAAGTTGTGATGTTGTTATCTTCAAAATGATGCGCTTCTCTAATAAACAACTTTATCTTTTCATATATTTATGATAGCATGACAAACACGAAAACGTGAATCAGTATCTAAAATATTTTAACAAGTTTTACATGCTAACATTGTTCCTATAAATTGATTTCTCTCCTCACAAGTTTCACTCACACTCAGCCTCTAGAAAAAGAAAAGCTTGCAGGCATGGATAAGGGTAAAGAGAAAATAGATGAAGCTGAGATTCGAGCCATCCATCATCTTCAAGAAGCAGGCAAATTGACAAGTGCCACAATAACAAAGATAGTAGAAGATGGTGACAAAGTCCACGTAACGTTCACCATGCCAAACTACGCCTCTCCAAAAGATGAAGCCGAAAGAAGGGCCATTCGCCTAAAACAAAATCTCCAGAAAGCAAGTTTGCCCAATGCTACAATTATCAAGCTGGAGGAAGATGGTGAAAGGGTCAATGTGATATACTCCATGCCGAACACAGCAAATCCTAAGGAAAAGGAGGCACTGGACAACATTGTCAATGAATCTAGGGTGAAAAAGGCATATTACTTGGAACAAGCCAACCGACTTGCCAACGAAAGGATAATGATGCTGAAGAGCGCTAACAAGCACTCAACAAATCCACCCAACTTTCGTTGGTACCCTATCCCTGAAGTTCCACAACAAAGTGATCAATCCTACGAGGACTTCACCTTGGTTCACTCTCAGTCGCCTATCAACCCGAACATGCCTACCCTCACACTTGAGGAACTAGACGAATATTCAAACAGGGTCAATCTGAATGATGTGACTGATGAGTTAACCTGCCTGGAACTTCACGTGCCCTATCGCTTTATCTGAATATTGCTTGTGTTATCTGTATGGTTTGGAGTACCTCTGCACGATTCTCTTTAATGAAAACTTTAAATTATTGTTGTCCTTACTAATTACTCTCCTAACCTTGATTCTGTTATGTGAGATTACCTCTTTTCAGATCAAAGATGGAATTTGTCTTAAAATATCATCTCATTAATAATGACGAAGACATGAGTTTAATGTTATTTGACTCTTCAAGAACCATGGATTTTCCTTATGAATTACCGTTAGAAAAAGCGCTTCATCTTGAATGGCTATAAAAGGAGCACATTATATATGCTCAAATTGCATCCATATCTTCTAAAATGGCTCCTAAAGTCTCAATCACCAAAAAGGTGTCAAGAAAGACCCGAGGTCATGATGTTATCACATCTGTGCTTGTTTTTATGGTTATTTTGAATCATCACAGTAATTAAGCTCTTTAATTTTGCTTATTTAATACATGTTTTCCTTGCTATTATCATTTAATTATGGTTCGCACTTGTTTTGAATATTTTACGGTGTTTGTTAGTGTTTTTGAACCATTTTAGGTCAAAGATATGACCAAGGGGAGTTCAAGGATGAGTTTGGAGCAATTTTGGATGAGTTCGGGGCCCAGTGGACTCGACGCGTCGAGCCAAGGGCTCGACACGTCGAAATTTTCCAGTAGCTAACTAATTCGCGCACAGGAAGTCTCGACGCGTCGAGAAAATTCTCGACGCATCGAATATGCGTCTGTTTCTGGGATAAAAACAGACGCTTAAAGTGGCGCAGCTGGGCAAAATTCAATACTAGCGCGAGATCTCTTTTCCTAATATCAATTGCGCGGATTTCAAGGCTCATATCTCCATATTAAAAGTTAGCAATTCAAGGAATCTTCCAAATTCTAAATATCATTAAAGACGACAATTTCTTTATTTAAATATAGGAATTAGAATTTGAGTCCAATTTGGTACAAGATTCCTATTTCATCTCAACTTTGTACCCACTATAAAATCCCTCCTTCCTCAACCCTAATAAGAGGGACCGAGAGAATTCAGAGATTCTTGGAGACAAGAAGGAGAGAAATCAAGAGCCACAAGTTGTCTTGGAAAGCAAGAAGAAGACTAGGGAGATTTGGGAAAATCGTCTGGTTAATTCTTGTACTCTTTTGATGATTTGTAATTCTTTATTTATATTTGCTATGTATAATTTAGTCATGCTTGGCTAAATTCTTTAGAGATTCTTGGGTAAAAGTGTTTATGAACCTATGTGCCTGAGCTCTCAGTTTCTTTAATATATTATTATTTGGGTTTAATACTTGTGTTGCAATCGTGATAATATTGTTTGATGCTTGTAATTAATGGCCATAGTTACTAGCTTCATAGCCATGTTTGTGTCACCAATGGGAGTTGGGGCATAAATTAGGGCACACACGATTGCACCTAATGGTTGGTCCTTGGGAAAGGGGAACTTATTAGGGGAAGTTTATTCTAGATTGTTGCCAATCGGGAGATGGTAGTAATTAGGAATAATTGAATGCTGATCTTTGATCTTATTGGGTGTTTAAGCCATGGGAGTGGAAATTCACTAGGAATAGAGATTACGGGAGTAATTCGATTCCACTTTGCATTCCCACACAAATCTTAATTCCAAACTAAATATTGCGAACGATAATTGGCACTAGGTGATTAAATACTTGAATCCCATGAATCTCAACTTCTCTCTAATTGTTTTCAAAATCCTGAACCTCTGTTTTATTTTATTTATTTTATGCCAATCAATCATCTAAGTAATTGTTAGGATTAGCTCTAATGAATAAGTTAGTAACTAGTGCTTGATACAACCACTTCCCTGTGGATCGATAACTCGTACTCCGAGAATTATTTGTTTGCAAATATACTACGCATCAGGTCATCCAGAAGAGGATGAACAAGGCATTCACATTACTGGAAATCATCCTATCAATCCTCTGAACATTTCATCCGACTCTGAAATTGAGGACTTTGATGAATTCATCAAGA